TTTATGGTTTTGTCCTGTTTCATTTAAAAATCAAAGCCTGCGTGTGAATCCTCAGAGGGTTGGCAGCACAATGCAGAAAGCAGGAGGACAAGGCGTGGTGTATTTGTACAAAGTCCTGAATCATGTGGAAAGCATTCGGAATACCCGGGGGTGCAGCTGAAGTCCGGTGTGTCCTTTCCTACGGCAGTTTCCCTTAGGAAGTGTCTCTCTTGGTCCTGGCCAGGTTAGAAGGATAGAAATGTTTCAGGGATGCTAAATGGGAAGGCTTCTCCTTCCCGGACCAGGAAGCCAGGAGGAGGGTGGTGTTTGCAGCGCAGAGCCCCTTGCACAGATCACGAAAGATTTCATCGACCAGCTGAGAGAAGAAATGAATCCAGAGGTTTTTATCCAGACCCTGGCTGGAGCGAACCTGATGGGCACAGTAAACGCTGGTGAAGAGGAGACGCTCGAACTCTGGTAGGGGCAGAGGGGTGTCGCTCAGGGAATAGTATCTCAGGTGCTGCTCGACCTCCGCCGCTGTTTTGGGAACTTCGTCCTCCAAAACGCGGGTGAAGCGGCGCGCGGGGCGCAGGGAGGCCAGCTCTTCATCCCGCAGCCTCATCGTCCCGTCGGCCTCCACAGCCAGCCCTCCCCAGAGCATCTGGAAGAGAAGAGCAGCGCGTGCACAAACCCTCCAGCACAAACCCAGCTGTGACACCACCCCCGACGCTGCCAGATCTCAGGCCAGACTGAGAGGCGGCCGCTCCCTGACTCGCTGCCCACGACCCGCCCAGTCCGACTCCGTGTCCTTCTCCACCAGCCCCACACCCCTTTTCTGACCAGCCCTGTGCCTCAGTTTCCCCGTGGGACCCATCCAGCTCTTGCCTCCCACCCTGCTTCTCCCACCGCAGTCCCACCCGCAGCAGCTCCCCAGCACGGTCACCCTGGGTTGCAGGGGGTCCCTTGTCCCACCCCAGAGGTGTGAGGTGCCATGGAGGGGATCGGAGCCCCCTTCAGCTGCACCCCACCACGGGAGGAAGCACAAATGCAATTAGAGCATCGCCAAGGCATTTTCCAAGCAATCCCAGGAGACCTCTAACATGATGTTGGCGTCCTCCGGGTTGCGACGGGGTGCTCTGGCACCGTCACCATCCCTGCTGCGAGGATGTCCATCTGGAAGACAGCAGGCAGAGTTTGATAGCACAAGGCCACGGCCCTTCCTGTTTATTTTTGTCATTTGGTTGTCGATAACGTCCTTGATAATTCCGAACTGCCGCTCGCAGCTTGCCAAACGCGCCGGATGCTGACCACGGGATTTTGAGGAGCAAAACAAGAGAAGCAGAAGTGGTTAAGGGAGGCAAGCGTAAATTTTGGATCTGATGGCCCTTAATCCTGCCAACAGAGCTAAAGCTGACAGCAGCAAAGGCTCTTGCGTTGACAGGCAGCTGGTGGAAACATAACCTGATGCTTATCGGGCTTTTATACTTCTTCCCTGAGCACCTGCCACTGGCAGGGGCAGAGCGTGAGGGTAAAAGAAACCCGGTCGGAGCCATTCCGGCTCTTCTCATGTCCAGCTAATTCCTTACCGGGCCACACAACATCATTTAAACTGGGAAAAATGGATATGAGGCCAGGGAAACAGGAGTTTATTCATATGAGAATCACATTAATCCTCAGAATTCTTCAATTTTCGTTTACTAACACTTCTAGTTCTTTACCTTTCTGCATTTATTTTGCCTTTATTCTTTCTTTCTTTGTGAAAAAGGGGACACGAGGAGCCTCGGGCCAAGGCTGCGAGGGGTAGGCTGCATCCCCTCCCTTCTCTGTGCTGATCAGCACAGCTGCGTAGCCCAGACCTTCTGCTTCTTCCAGACTCCTCCTTCAGGCCAAGAAACAAGAAATGGAAAAGCTTGTATAAAATACTAAACTCTCTGACTTTTTTTTTTTTCATTTTTATATGGATGGAAGCTTTTTTGTACAAAAAACAGGGAGAACTTGTGTTGAGTACTGCAGAGTTGAGGTCAGCAGGTGCTTATGAAGAGTAGAAAAAACGATTTAACACTGTTACGAGCGTGATGACTACTACCAAACCCCACTTCCAGCTTTCCATTCTTGATTAAAGCTTTTCAGGGCGACGCACGAGCTGCCTGAAGTGCTCTGCCACCCCCCAGGCTGCAGAGGTTTGTTTCTCTGCACAGCTGCAGGCTCCCTGATGGAAGCCAGCTGTGCCTTCGGAATGTGAGCGAGGACGGAGCTGCTCCCTCCTATTCCTCCCTGGATGCGCCAACAAGGCTTTTAGCTCAGGTGAAAACACTGCATCAATCTGAAAATGGCTTTGCTGGGCTTCTCTCTGCTAACTGGCGCGCCACGTTCACAGATCCCTCCGTGGATTTGTTGAGCAGCCGCCAAACTGCTCAACCACCTCACAAATCTACGCAGCGTTCCATTTTTGAGAGGAGCGAAACAAAGATTCCACAAAGCGTAACAAATAATGTATTGAAATAATAACACAAATATCCTCCGGAGACGGGAAAATGGTCCTTTACTTCCCTTTATAAGCCAACAGGTTTCTTTTTCCGCAAAAAAAAAAGCATCTAGAAAATCCACAAACATTACCACCGGCGCAGACTTGTTCAGTGGAGACCCAAGAAAACCCTCCCCCTGCCACCAAACCTAGCAGCAGCTCTTCGTCCCGAAAGCAGATAC